ATTTGTCACTGTTGGGCCTGACGTGGTATACCTGTTTGTTATTTGAGATCTTAAGGTGCAGATGACTTTCTTTTCCCCAGAGTATTTCCAAACCTGTTCTTTTTCCCTTTTTTAAATCCAGTGTAGAATCTTCAGACATTCTGTAAGTCAGAGATACCTTTTTTCCTGGAATAAGCTCTCCTGTGTACCATGTTGCTCGGGAGGAACAGAATGGTTGGACTCAGATCCCTTATGGCTGTGTTTCCGCATCCGCATGACAGACTGCATTGTTCTCCCCCAGAGACATGAAATCTTGGGGATGGTTGTCACAGGTAAGGCCGAGGTATAGGGAGAACAGAAGGAGATACAGGGCAGGAAAGAGGGGACTGTGCAATAGTAGTGTAACCAAGCATGTCTCCCTTTCTCTGCGTCTTCATTAGTATTGTATTGTGAGCAGTGACTAGTGTATCAGACCTTAGAGCTGTGGAGTTTTAGATCCTAAAGGGACATAAATCCGTAAGTTGTATAATATATAAATAAGAAAATATAGTAAATAGTGATTTATTTTATCTTAAGTTATACAGCTAATAGTACAACAGGTCTAGAACCCAGTTGTTTTGATTCTAAATCTGATTTTTTTTTTTTTTAATTTGGTGACTGAGTCTCACTCTGTCACGCAGACTGGACTGCAGTGGTGTGATCTCGGGTCACTGCAACTTCCATCTCCTGGGATAAATTGATTCTTATGTCTCAGCACCCCGAGTAGCTGGAACTACAGAGTGCGACCCCACACCTGGCTAATTTTTGTACTTTTAGTAGAACCGGGGTTTTACCATGTTGGCCAGGCTGGTCTCGAACTCCTGACCTCAGGTGATTTGCCCACCGGCCTTCCAAAGTGTTGGGATTACAGGTGTGAGCCACCATGCTTGGCCAAGTCTGGTGTTTTATCTGCTGATACGGTGTCTGTGGTTCACTCACCAAATATTTGTTGTGCGTGTGTTAGGAACACATGACACATGTACACGTGTCCTCAAATTTAATAATTAAGGAAATATAGTAATATTGGTAGTATTAGGATGTATGTTAAATGAGGTAAGAGTGATACGAAAGATGTAGGTCTTGAAAGTATATAGAGTCTTTTAAAACCTATTTTTAATAACTTGTATTACAAAAGTAATGCTACTCACCAAGCAGATTCTAGACAATCATGACAAAACAATTAAAATCACCTAAAATCCTAAATTTTTTTTCATGTACTTACGTATATATGTTTTTCTAGTTACAAAACTGGGATTGTTCTAAATAAACGTTTTGTAACCTGGAGAACGAGGCTAAGAGAACTGAGGTGGCCATGCAGTTGTGAACGTTGTATCACAGCCTGTGGCAGGACGGAGTGGAAAGGATGAAGGAGCAAAGCTTAAGGGACAGTTAAAGAGCCAACTAAAGGGAGCTGATGTGTTGGAGAAGCTGAATTTGAGTAGAGATTATTGGCTCGTGGGCAGAAGGCATATTATTGCCAGAATGGCAGGGCTTTTTTCCTGCCTCTGGCTCTAGTTTGTTTGAAGGTTATTTCAGTAGAAGAATTACCATGTACATCCCAGCCAATGGTCTGGATTCCGATTTTAACTAGAAATACTAGTGAGCTGCAGGATGTGGAGATAAGCTTCTTGCTATCAGCTAGGCAGTCACGACCAATCCGTTGAGTATTCTTGTTTCTGGAGGGAATCCTGGTATAACTGAAAAAGTGGTGGATGAGAAGTTTAAAGTCTGATATTTAGTAACCAGCTGATTTTAGGCCAACCTCTGCGGCTCTCAGGAATACTATTCTGTATTGCTGCTTCCTACTGGTTGCTTGCTTTTAAGATCTGCAAATTAATGTATTAATACAAAAAAAAAAAGAAGTTCGTCATAAATTTGGAAGAGCTGCATAAATTCCATACAGTATTAATACTGATGGTGAAAATGAAATTTTGTTTCGGATGTAGGGCTTTTTGTCAGGTGGCTAGAATGTCTCAAAATAATTTGTCATGGTGGCTAACTAAGACTATTGTATTCTTGAAAAATGCTGAGAGTGGACATTAAATATTCTCACAAAACTGATAACTGTGAGGTAATACATATTTTAATTAGCTAGATGTAACTATTCTACAATGTGTATATACTCTAAGATGTGTTGTACATGATAAGTACAATTTATCAATTTGAAGTAAGTATGTTTGAAAACAAATTTGTCTAAATATAGAGTTTTAAAGTGTAAATCTTTGGAGGAAGACTTATTTCTTTTACATTTAGCCTTGGGCCTTGAATATTGCTTTCGAAATCTAAAAGCTAGCTCATGGGTAAATAGACTTTATTTCTGCAAGCATTTTTTAAAGAAAAATGTTCTTATGCCTTCTTTTAAAAAGTACTTTTATTCTAGAATAAAAGCTTACTAGGGAACTCTGATTATTAGTGTGTGGGTGATAACTTGTGCTTTGTGTCGTTTTGGGGAAAAGATGTGTGTAATGTAGAATAGGTAAAATGGCCAGTGATCTTTTTAATGGGTGCTTGCCTTACGGAAGTTGACTGTGAGTGTTTTCCATTTTCCATTGGGAGTCTTTTTCTTCTAAAATTCCACCGTTGGAATTTGTCTCGATGTGTAGCCTTCTCCATATATTCTGTTAGCTGTGGCTTTAGAAGGTTCGAACATGGTCCCTTTAGTCCTGACTCAGCCTCTTAGGTGCTCCCTGGGAATGAGTAGACGAGATAGATAAAGGTGTGCTAGGCTTATTATTTTCCTAGAGGTCAGGTGAAACACGAGAGAACACGGAGTGAGTATCTTTTTGGTCTCCTAGGTTCTTGGACCCCTTTGCCACAGTCCGTGCCCTGTGTAGACTTGTGGGCCTGTTTATTTCATTTTGCCATCTCTGAACTTGGAGGTAGAGTATTGAAATGGTTGACCGTTGACTAGCCCTCAACCCATCGTTCTCCTTCTTTCTAATGGTTCCATACAGAGTAAACCTTTCTACTTCTGAAGGTAATTCACTTAACCTCAAGAGTCTGGTTGCCTCAAGAGCATTTTGGAAGTGTCCTGCGTAAGAGTCAGCATTAACTGATTCCTGTTCTCTTTGGACCTGTGATCCTTCCTTGGTGGAGTCTGGGAGTTTCAGAAGTTACGACGTCTCTCTGTTATCTTGCTGCTCAGCATGTCGCCTCATTGCTTCATATACTAGTAAATTCTGCCTTCACAGATGCTTTGGTCCAATACTGCTTAGGGGTCAGCTTTAAATTTGTATTTTTTTGTAGTGAACGAAGGTGAAAAACTTTGAGTCATATTATTCTGTGTTAAAATGCTGTGAGGAAGTTATTTGATACGGGTCTTTCAGTTCTAAAATAAATAATTGGTGAAAGTGGTAAATTGTATGTTCAGCCTCGCCCTGTCCTCTTTGTTGACTAGAAAAAGCAAGTAGGCGTAAAGAAGAGGAAAGTATCCACTGGGCTCTCAAATGCTGCCTTACCCATGGAGAACTCGACTGTCCCCTTCATATCCCTTCCCGTAATGTTGGACTAATTCCTAATTATTCTTTAGATCTCAGTTCAGGTGTTGGTTTCTCAAGGCAGTGCCATCTCTCAGTATGTGAAAGCCAGATTTTTCTTCCAGCATTTGATAAAATTTCACTTAAGTATTGGTGGTATTCAATCGCTCTATGCAGGGACATTCTGGGGCTTCTGAAAACAGGTTCTAAGGTACCTTTCTAGCAATCTTTCCTGCTGTTTGTGTACCATGGCTTCAGTGGAATTTCTTTCTCTTATTCACTCTTTAATACATTTTCCTTGTATTTTCTGGCTTCCACTCCCTCGTTCACACATTCTTCTCCTTGGTGACACCTTAGTCTCTTCATTCACTACTTTAAATGCTAATGACTTCTGGCTACATGGATGGTTTAGTCCGGTACTGCCTGGGAGACAGCTTTAAACTCATATTTCTTCCCCATCTTCAAGGCTCACCTGAAATTTCATTTCATATTCCATGACGTATTTTGTTTTTCTCTGGCTAACCCCGAGAGGCCTGTTTTCCTTTCTGAGTTGGTGGTGGTGATTGCCCACGGTTGTCCTTTTGCACCTACTTACTTACTGTTTTGTGACTGTTCTCTTGACTCTCTTGCTGGTGTGTTTTTTTTTTCTAGTCAACAGGAACATTAGATCACTGGAGACAGATATTTTCATCTTCTGTTTCTTTATGTTCTTTACAGTTTATGCCCACCACAAACTTCCTCAGTAAAAAGTTTATTTGCTCCTCACATTTTATAGCATGAATCTTGGTGAGAGCGCTTTGAGATTGTTTTTTTTTCTTTAAAAAATTTCTCCAGGTATCCAATTGTGTTCTCCGTTTTACTGCTTGTATGTAATGGCTGACGTAAAGGTATCGGGAAAATCTGTATGCAAGTAGCACAGGGGGCTTAATAACTGCAGGATGTCTTGTGGCTCATGTCAGTACAGCTTTCTGAAGACACAGCATGAAATAAGATTTCACCAGGTGAGGGAAGAGAAGTAGCATGGATTGGAGGCAGGTGCTTTACTTGAACAGATCTGTTTCTTGTAACTAATGCTTCTAAACAATTTTACTTCCAAGGTGTAAATAAAATTCCCAGGAGGAGGAGTTGAATTTTTTAAAAAGAGTATAGATTGGGTGCCATGTTTATCAAAAGATTAACTTTATTAACCTTCTAGTGGCTTGAGTGAGAAATTGTCTTCTTGTTATGTGAGTAGAGAGCTATTTAAGAAAATCTCTTTAATTGATTTCCTTCCTAGAATTTAGATCATCTTCTGTGGAACAGCTTAAAAGTCACTAGGAATAACCAGTGACGAAAATGATCTGAGGTGTTCAGAGCCCTGGTTTTCTGTTATCAGAGATGAAAAGCCAGTCTCTGACATTTACTGGTTAGATGAACTTGTTTTCATGTTTACCTGTTCATCACACTGTTAAAATGTAGAATGCAGATTGCATTGATGTATTAAAGATTTTGTTTCTTTTTGTTTAGGTACAAAGAGGATGGCGAAGCTTTATTAATTTTGCTTCCCTCAGAAAAAGCTATGGTGCAACAACTTCTTCAGAAGAAAGTACCCGTGAAGGAAATCAAGTAAGAGCTACTTGTTGTCTTTCTGTTTTCAGGAAAATGAGAGCATGAAATTGTTATGCTTAACTATGTGCACCTTATTCCCTCCTCCTCCGAATTTATTCAACTGCCTGGTTTGACTTTTATAAAAAGGCTCTTTTTACAACAGTTTTAGGTTCACGGAAAAATTGAGAGGAAGATACAGAGTTCTCGTGTACCCCATTCTCTGAACATGCACAGCCTCTGCCCTTATCAACCTTCCCCACCAGAGGATATCTGCTGCAATTGACAAACCGGTGTTGATGTTTTTTTCACCAAAGTCCATAGTTTACACTAAGGTTCATTCTTGGTGCTGTCCATTTTGTGGGTTTGCACAAATGTGTGATGATGCATATCTAGGATTTTAATATCATACAGCATTTTCGCTGCTCTAAAAATCCTGTTTTGCCTATTTATTCGTCTCCCCTCCCCCTGAACCTCTGACAACTGCTGATCTTTTTACTGTCTCCATAGTTATCTTTCCAGAATGTCATATATTCTAGTTGGAATTATACAGTACCTGGCCTTTTCGTGTTGGCTTCTTTCACTTAGTAGTATGCATTTAAGGTTCCTCCATGTCTTTTCATGGCTTCATAGTACATTTCCTTTTAGTACTGAATGACATTTCATTGTCTGGGTGTAACAGTTTTTGTTCACCTACTGAAGATATTTTTTTTTATTTTGTTTTGTTTTGACCTTGTTTATATAATCAATTCAACTATAGCCTGGCTGCAAAAATGACAGATTTGTATTGATTTTATGCAAATAACCACATTGTCATGAAAGCTAGTAAGTCATCTGAATTCTGAGGGGTCAGGGAGAGTAAGGTACTATATAAAGAATGTGTCATTTATAGTTTACTAAACAGAGGGTTAAAGATAGATCAGGAAGAGAAGAGAAAGGATCTTTTCACTCCCTTAATAAAAATATGTAAAACCCTATCAGTAGTATTAAAATGAAATAACCACAATTAGATTGTTCTCAGCCCTTCCCTTAATCCTACTTAAGTCTTACAATTAGTGGATGTTGGATTAACATTTGGCTTTCAAAGGTCTAAAGGACATCTTAATTGCTTCAAAGTTTTGGCAATTAGGAATAAAGCTGCTATAAACATCCATGTAAAGGATTTTGTGTACACATAAGTTTTCAACTCCTTTGGATAAATATTACCAAGGAGCGTGATTGCTGGGCTAGATGGTAAGAATGTGTTTGGTTTAGTAAGAAACTGCCAAACTGTTTTCCAAAGTGGCTACACCATTTTGAATTCCTGCCAGCAGTGAATGAATTTCTGTTGCTCCACATCCTTGTCAGCATTTGCAGATATTCTTTATCAAGGTGAGGAAATTGTCTTCTATTCATAGTTTACTGAGTTTAAAAAAAAAAGATCATGAGTGGGTATTGGAATTTGTAAAAAAAAAAAAAATTTTTTTTTAAAAATCTGTTGAGATTGTGAGGTTTTTTTTCTTTGTGAATGTTAAACCAGCCTTGCATTCCTGGGATAAATCTCACTTGGTTGTGATTTATAACTATTTTTATACCTTGTTGGATTTAATTTGCTAATATTTTGTTAGATTTATACCTAAGTGTTCATTTTTTCGGAGTGCTAATAATGTAAATGGTGTTGTTTTTAGTTTCAAATTCCACTTATTGCTGGTAAATTGATGCTCATAGCATTCTCTCTTTTTTTTTTCCCTGGGTAGGGGGTGGGGGCAGAGTCTTGCTCTGCAGGTGCAATCTTGGCTTACTGCAACCTCTGCCTCCTCAAGCAATTCTTAGCCTCCCAAGAAGCTCAAATTACAGGCATGTGCCACCATGCCTGGCTAGTTTTTGTATTTTTAGTAGAGATGGAGTCTTGCTATGTTGGCCAGGCTGGTCTTGAACTCCTAGCCTCAAGCAATCTGCCTGCCTTGGCCTCCTAAAGTTGTTCGTAGTATTCTTTTTATCCTTTTAATGTCTGTGGGGTTTGTACCGATTTTCCTTTTCTTCATTTGTGATAAAAACAGGAAAGTGATTAACTTTTGTATATTAACCGTCAATCTCGTAGTCTTGCTGTGATTGCTTATGTCTGTGGGGTTTGTACTGATTTTCCTTTTTTCATTTGTGATAAAAACAGGAAAGTGATTAACTTTTGTATATTAACCATCACTCTTGTAGCCTTGCTGTGATTGCTTATGTCTGTGGGGTTTGTACTGATTTTCCTTTTCTTCATTTGTGATAAAAACAGGAAAGGGATTAACTTTTGTGTATTAACTGTCAATCTCGTAGTCTTGCTCTGATTGCTTATTAGTCTAGTAATTTCTTTGTTCATTCTTTTTGATTTCCTACATAGATGATCATGTCATCTGTGAACAAAGCTAGTTCTATTTCTTCTTTCCCAATCAGTATCCCTTTGATTTCCTTTTCTTGTCTTACTGCATTAATTAGGAATACTAGAGTGATGTCGGACAGCAGTGGTGAGAGGGGATGTCATTGCTTTTTTCCTGATTTTAGCAGGAGAGCTGCCAGTTTCTTACCATGAAGTGTGATATTAGTAGTGGGTTTTTGTATTTGTTGAGGACTTTTGCATCTATCATTATGAGTGATTAGTCTGTAGTTTTTTTTTCTCCCCTGTAATGTTTGTATCTGGTTTTGGTGTTAAAGCGATGTTGGCCTCATAGAATGAGTTAGGAAGTATTCCCGCTGCTTCTATCTTCTGAAAGAGATGTTAGGAAATTGGTATTTCTTTCTGAAATGTTTGGTAGAATTTATAGGCAAGCCCATCTGGACTTGGTAATTTCTGTTTTGAAAGGTTATGAATCACTGATTCAATTTCTTTAACAGATGTCCTATCGAGAGTGTTTATTTCTTATATGAATTTTGGCAGATTTTGTCATTCAAGGAGTTGGTCTGTTTCACCTGGGTTGTCAAATGTGTGGGCATAGAGGTGCATAATGCTCTTTACCCCTCTACTATCCATGAGATTTGTCATGGTCTTTCTTCTTTCATTTCTGAAAATAACTTGTGTCCTTTTTTCTTCGTATGGTTATAGGCTTATGAATTTCTTTTAGTTGTTCCATTCAAAGAACCAGCTCTTGGTTTAATTCTTTTCCCTTTATTGATTTCCTGTTTTCAACTTCAGCCATTTCTGCTCTAGTTCTTTCTTCTTCTGCTTGCTTTTGATTTAACTTACCCCTTTTCTGTTTCCCAAGTTGGAACTGTAGATGACTGAGTTTTAGGTGCTTTCTTTCTAATACAGTCATGTGTTGCTTAATGATGGGAGTAAGTTCTGAGAAATGCGTCATTCACTTTATCCTTGTGTAAACATCACTGACTGCACTTACACAAACCCGGATGGTATAGCTTACTGTACACCTAGGCTATATGGTGTAGCCTATTGCATTTAGGCTACAAACCTGTACAGCATGAATACTGCACATGCTGTACACTGAATACTGTGGGCAGTTGTAACACAATGGTAGGTATTTGTGTATCTAAACGTAGAAAAGGTACAGTAAAAATACAGTATAAAAGATAAAAAGCATACTGCTAGAGCACTAACTACAGTGCCTGCAGGACTGGAAGTTGCTCTGGGTGTCAGTGAGTGGTGCGTGAGTATGAAGGGTTAGCACGTTACCGTATACAACTGTGGACTTGGTAAGCACTGTAGGCGTGGGCTGTACTAAACTGTTTTCTTCAGGAATTCACCTTACCTTGCTGTAACTTCTTTTACTTTATAAACTTTTAGTTTAGCTTCCTGATTCTTTTGTAGTTATACTTAGCTTAAAACGCATGTTATATAGCTATACAAAAATATTTTTTAAATATCCTTACTCTACAAGCTTTTTTCGGTTAAAAATATTTTTTTCCTTTAAAACTTGTTTTGTTAAAAATAGAGACACAAACACATGAGGCCAGGCCTACACAGGGTCAGGATCATTAATATCCCTGTCTTTCATTTCCACATCATCTCATAGAAAGCCTTCAGGGGCAATAACATGCATGGAGCTGCCGTCATTTATGGTAACAGTGCCTCCTTCTGCAGTACTTCCGGAAGGACCTCTCTGAGGGTGTTTGTATAAGTAGAAGGAAAACACTGTCACATAATAAAAAGTCTATTGAATGCATCAGTCAACAGTTGTTTATCATTTTCTAGTATTATGTACCTCACTCACCTCATTGCAAGTGCCATACTTCCGTTTATCTTGTGCGCGGTGTGTTTCCTTACACCAGCATCACCATACACATGTGAGTAATGTATTGCCCTACAGTGTTACGATGGCCGCGACATCACTAGGTGATAGGAATTTTTCAGCTTCACTACCATACTGCAGCCTTAGTCTCCCAGGCTTAAGTGATCCTCCTGAGGAGCCGGGACTACAGTCCTGTGCCACCATGCCTGGCTAATTTTTTTGATATTATTAGAGACAAGGTCTTGCTGTGTTGCCAAGGAAGATCTTGAACTCCTGAGCTCAAGCGGTCCTTGGACTCCCACAGTACTAGCATTACAGGTGTGAGCCACTGCTCCTGGCTTTCATTACAGCCTTATGGGACCACTATTGTATATGCAGTCCATCACTGACTGACACATCATTATGTGACTCATGACTGTATATGTATTCATTGCTATAAATTTCCCTCTAAGTACTGTTTTTGTTGTGTTCCGCAAATTTTGTAACTAATTTTAATTTTTATTCATGAGAAATTTTAAAAGATTTTGATTTTGTTTTGACTTGTATTAGAGGTGTGTTTAATCGCCATCTATTTTAGAATTTTCTAGTTACCTTTCTGTTATTTCTAGTTTATTTTATTTTATTTTTTTGAGACAGAGTCTTGCTCTGTTGCCCAGGCTGGAGTGAAGTGGCATGATCTTGGCTCACTGCAACCTCCACCTCCCGGGTTCAAGTGATTCTCCTACCTCAGCCTCCCAGTACCTGGGATTACATGTGTGCCACCATGACTGGCTAATTTTTGTATTTTTAGTAGAGATGGGGTTTCTCCATGTTGACCAGGCTGGTCTTGAATTCCTGACCCCAGGTGATCTTCCTTCCTTGGCCTCCCAAAATGCTGCGATTACAGGTAGGAGCCATTGTGCCTGACCTATTTCTAGTTTAATTCCATTGTGAAAGAAGATATTGTATGATTTATATTTTTTTAATTTTACTAAGACGTGTTTTATGGACCAGAATGTTTTATTTTGGTGAATGTTCCATGTGAGCTTGAGGAGATGTGTATTAGGTTGTTGGATAAAGTAGTCTCTAGATGTCTATTGCGTCCAGTCGATTGATGGTATTGTCGAGTTCAACTATGTTCTTACTGACTTTCTGCCTGCTGGATTCGTCTATTTCTGATAGAAAGGTGTTGAAGTCTCTAATTTTAGCAGTGGACTCGTCTTTCTGGATGCAGTTGTATCAGTATTTTCCTCACATAGTTTGATGCATTAAGGATTGTTGCCTTTTTGGCGAATTGAGTTCTTTATCATTATGTCATGCCATTTGTCCCTCTTAAGTTCCTTGCTTGGAAGTCTGCTCTGTCTGACACTAGTATAGCTATTTTTGCTTTCTTTTCATTAGTGTTAGCATGATATATTTTTATCAAACCACTTTTATTAATTTATGTGTCTTCATACTGAAAGTTGTTTTATTGTAGACAACATATAGTTAGGTCTTGTTTTTTGATACACTCTGACAACATCTCTTTTAATTGATGCATTTAGGCTCTTGATGTTGAAGGTGATTATTGATGCAGTTGGATGAATAGCTGATGTATTTGTTACTGTTCTGTTTGTTGCCCTGTTCTTTCTTCTTACGTTTGTCTCCTGTCTTCCTGTGTCTGAGAATCACAAGATTGTTTTCTCCCCTTAGCATACCACTTTGTTCTTTTTCACTTTTTTTTTAGTGGTTGCTCTAATGTTTTTGCAATATACATTTACAAATAATCCAAGCCCGTTGTGAAATAATGACCTAATGCTACAGCACTTCGCAGGTAGTGTGAGTACCTTATAACGTAGTTCCGATTTCTCCTCCTGTCCCTTTTATCATTGATGTCATTCATTTCACTTATGTAAAGCATACATAAGCATATAAATGTAAGATGTATACATCAACATACATAATCAAACATGCTGGGGCTATAATTTTGAAAAAACTTAGATTAAAAATAAGAAAGATTTTATTTTACCATCACCTATTCCTTTGTTATGAAGATCTGAGTTTCTCACTTAGGTTATTTTTTTTCTCTCTAAAGAACTGTTAAACGTGTTTTGCAAGGCAATTCTGGCAATATGTTTTGTCAGTTTTTGTCTGAAAAAATGTTTCTCTTTTGAAGGATAGTTTTGTGGGGTACAGAGTTCTAGGTTGGTGGTTTTTCTCTCCCTGCACTTTAAATATTTCATTCCACCTCTCCTTGCTTGCATGGTGTCTGAGAAATCAGGTGTAGTTCCTATCTTTGTTCTTCTATGGGTAAGGTGCCCCCTGCCCACTTCTTTCAGGATTAAACAAATACTTAACTTTCTGTCGTTTGACAATGATATGCCTAAGTACAGTCTCAGTATCTCTCCCTTCCCCACCCATGCTTTGAGCTTTCCGAGCTGTTGGATCTGTGGTGTGGTGTCTGACGTTAATTTGGAGGAAATTCTGAGTCATTACGGTTTCAAGCATTGCTGTTTCTCTTCTCCTTCTGATGCTCCCATCACATGCATGTTCACTTTTCCTAATTGTTCCATAGTCCTTGGAGTTCTGTTGTGTTGTTTTCAGTCAGCTTTGGAGGTTTTTATCAAGTTCAGAGATTGTTTCCTCAGCTGTGTCAAATCTAGTAATAAATCCCTCAAAGGCATCAGTCATTTCTGTTGCAGTTCTTATTGTTCTCTCACATTTCTTTTTGATTCTTTCTTAGGATTTTCATCTTTCTGAATGACGTTGCCCATCTGTGCATGTTACCTGTTTTATCCATTAGAATTCTTAGCATATGAGTCATTGTTACTTTAAATTAAATTTCTGGTCTGATACTTCCAACATCCCTGCCATGTCTCGTTATGCTGCTTGCTCTATCTCTTCAAATTATGTTTTTGCTTTTAGTATGCCTTGTAATTCTTTTTCACGATAGATATAATGTGCCAGGTATTATAAAAGGAACTCCTGCAAATAGGCTTTAATTGATGTTGGTGCCGTCGTGGTAAGGTGTAAGGGGTGGGGGCCGTAGGGGAAGCCTTTTTAAGACCTATAGTGTAGGTATCAGTCTTTTAGTGAGCCTCTGCCTCTGGACTGGGAACTTCACAAATTCTTCTCAGTCTCTGCCTTCCCACCACCCCAACTTAAGTGGGAAAGGATGGCTAGACTTGGGTGTTTCCCTCCCGGCAGGTCACTTAGGCTCCGTGAAAACCCTAAGAGGCTTGGCTCTCATGAACAAGGCCTGCTCTCAAAAGAAACTAGTGAAGAACAGAGTGCTCAGGCATATTTCAAAATGGTTCAATTTCCCCTTGTTTTACTGAAAGCATGAGGGATTTTTTCTGATATTTACTGGGAGAACTTGGTTGAGCTCCTGGGATAAAACTTATGAATGTGGGGCTGCCCTATGAATGGGTCCTCCTGGAGTTTTTATTTCTCAGACTTGTCCACACCGAGGCTCCAGAAGGTTTTATCAATTACAGTGAGGTTCTCCCACCCAGGCACTGACTCTCCCTGTTGTTTCTGCTCATGGCTCAGCTCAGGTAGGCTGTGACTCCCTGTACTCTTTCCTGTGTTGCAAACAGTGGTTTTCCTGTGTCCTCCAGCTCTATCATGGATAAAAGAAGAGTTGTTGATTTTTTTCCCCAGTCTGTTCAGCTTTGTACTTGTTGTTATGATGGACTGATGATTTCTAAGCTGCATCTGTAGGGTACTGGGTATCAGAAGTCTCCTTTTTTTTTTCCCTAAAAAAACTTTTTAAACAGCCTTTTTCCAAGGACTGTTAGTGGAGAAAATGAGATGGAAAGGGAGGACTTGTCACCTTCAGGAAGCACTGATGATTGAAATAGTTAAACCTCTTGGGTGGAATTACTTTTGAGGTTGTCTCTCCATTTTAGAGAGTTGTGCTCTCTTGTCACTAAAGATGTGTAGATTCACAGTCAGTGGAATCCATCAGAATCTTACTTGTATTTGCCCAAAATAATTTTGAGAGTGGTTAGATTAGGGGAGGAGGGTTGAAGATATAGCAGAGACAAAACTGGTTGTGATTTGGTAATTGTTGAGGCTGAGTGAAAGTCTCTATCTTTTTGTATATTTTGAAATTTTTTATAATAAAACTAAGTAAAAACTAGTTCATCTACCACCGCCCATCACCATCCTGGCTTTGCAGAAACAACTTGGTTCAGCCTAACATCAGGGAAACAATGGGGTCGCTTTTGTGAAGCCTAGACCTCTTCAGATTTTTCTTGCCTGTAGCTTATCTGGGCAGAATTAGATACCATCTCTGTCATAATATGCCTAATTTCTAAATAAGGGAATCACTACAGTCTTTGGCTACTTGTTTATTACTTGAACTTGGTTTTACGATGTTTGACTGAAACAGAAATATTTATAAAAATGATACTAGGGTTAGGCATGGTGGCTCACATCTGTAACTCAGCCCTTTGGGAATCCAAGGCAGAAGGATTGCTTGAGGCCAGGAGTTACAGACCAGCCTGGGCAACACTTTGAGACCCTGTCTTTACAAAAGAAGCAGCAAACAGACTAGCTGGGCATGTTGATGCAAGCCTGTAGTCCTAGTTACTTGAGAAGCTGAGATGGGAAGTCACTTGAGCCCAGGAGTTCAAAGTTACAGTGGGCTGTGATTGCACCAGTACACTGCAGCCTCACTGAGGAAACAGAGTAAGACAGCTTTAAAAAACAATTAGATTTCATTTATTCCATTCATGTAGAATGGATCTCTAAACAGACAGACTTTCTACCTGCTGAGCTAAGAAGCAGCCAGTGCTAACTGTGGTGTTTATCGAAGTATCTCGCTCAGCATGGGGTGTTTAGAGAAAGCATCTGACGTGTCATTTCTTCATTTCTTTTCTCCTGTGTTATTCCTCATAGGCAGGAAAGTCAAACTTAGATGGAGTTTAATGTCCGTCTAATCTGATTCTCAGTTGAGAAATAGTTAGACATTTAAAACTACTGAGGAAAATAGGAAAATGGTGCTTACTATTTTTAGTCTCCAAAATTGAGGTATCTTATTTTAACCTTTATCTTTTTGTTGCAAAGAATCAATCCAGAGAAACTTATAGATGTCCAGAAAAAGTTGGAATCTTTTTTAGCTCAAGATCAAGATTTGAAAGAAAGAGCTCAAAGGGTAAGTCATTTTTGAATTGGATTCCTTCGTCGAATGGAAAAATAGTAAAGTTTATCATTTTCTGCTACTTCTAGGTTGCATGTTTATGCCTCAGTCAAGAAGTGTAATTTGCTGATAGATAAGTCTAGTTTATTCTTTTTTTTTCCCCCAGAAATTTTTTTTTTTTTTTTTTTTTTTGAGACAGAGTCTTGCTCTGTAGCCCAAGCTGGAGTGCAGTGGCATGATCTTGGCTCCCTACAACCTTCGCCACTTGGGCTCAAGTGATTCTTGTGCCTCAGCTTCCTGAGTAGCTGGAACTACAGGTGTGAGCCGTCAGCATGCCTCACTAATTTTTTGTATTTTAGTAGAGAAGGGTTTCACCATGTTGCCCAGAGTGGTCTGGAACTCCTGAGCTCAGGTGATCCGCCCGCCTTGGCCTCCCAAAGTGCTGGGATTACAGGTGTGAGCCACTACGACGCCCGGCCAGTCAAGCTTATTTAAAATGTTGAAAAATATTTTTATATATAGATTGGGAAAATCATCTTTAGTTTTGTCAAAGACATATGGAAAGTCCTCTTAAATAAGATGTTTTGGATGCACAGTGGCCTGATTTCTAATACTTAATGATTTTATTAACTTTTTATTTCTTTAGTGAAGTTGCTGTAACTCCTGATTGTACTTTCTTGATTGTGAGATTAATATCTTCCCACATTAGATTAAAGGAGGTCATTCAGTTATCTGTCAGAAAATATGAAACATTGGAAAGATGTTGTTTCACTGGTTTGTGCATACAACAGATGAGTCTTCCAGAACACAGACTATAGAAAAGCACGTTGAAATAAATGATGTGATTTATTGGGTGTCACGCATGGTTTAGCAGAATGGCTAACTGTGTGGCCAGCAGCGGCAAGCTATCTAGTTTCATGGAAGTGATTTTCTAGGTTTTGATTCTAATCTGGAGAGAACAAAAGTGATAAGCAACTGAGGCGATTGCTTGTGGATGATTGTAGTGAAAAAATTATCTTTAAACTGGTGCTAGCTAAAATGTGAAGTTTAGGAAGTATGGAAACAGTAACTAAATATACTTGACAAAAGTCAACTTAAAAATAAAAAATTACCTAGGCATGTTTTATCATCTGTTTATTTGACAACCTGACAAAGGATCAGGACCCTGTTTATATTCTGGTTTGTGTAACTCTAGTATGAAGATAGTTTTTTTTTTTTTTAAAAACAGAAACAGAAAATATTCCAAGTTAATGATGAATTACTTGAAATCATAAAAAGGAAAAGCTTTAGCAATAAAGCTTTTACTGTCATGATTTTATTAAATCTCAATATGTCAGATTTTATGTAATTAGAAAAACTTATCTTTTGACCCAACAATAAAAAATATTGTCAATAACTAGCATTTATTACTGTAATTTAGAAAATGTGCTAGGTATCTACGTGCATTTAAAAAATTGTATTCTCATAACTCTAGTATCTCATTTTAGATAGATGAGGATATTGACATGTAGAGAAACAAGAAATTTCCTCTGGGAGTAAGATTTTGAGCTCTGAATAGATTCCAAATCTATATTATTCTAAAGCCTATATTTTCCTCATTGTGTACCTTATCGTAATGGAATTATACTAACTTTAAAGTGGCTTTTTGGAAAGATGATATTCTCTGTTAGGTTGGCTTGATGAAATCAAATGCAAAGTTTTTTCTAATATTGCAGTTCTAAAAGGTATGTTTTCGTGTGTGTATGGAATGGAGACATACTGAACTATTTTGTGGTGTTTCAGTACTATTGAATTTTTCTCATTGGTTCATTTTCTTCTATTTTGGTCTAAACTCACTTTTAATTTCTATCATATTGTACTTTTCAACCTCTTAATTTACAGTGTTTCGTCTCCTATATACGATCAGTATATCTGATGAAGAATAAAGAAGTATTTGATGTGAGCAAGTTACCTATACCTGAATTTGCCCTGTAAGTATCCCTAATATAGTTGTCATAGTGAATCCTCAAAGTTAGAGGGAATGAATGAATGAATGAATGAATGAATTTAGAAATGGGGTCTTGCTCTCTTGTTCAGGTTGGTCTCGAACTTCTGGGCTCAAGCAATCCACCCATGTCAACTTCCTGGAGTGCTGGGATTATAGGCGTAAGCCACCACGCCTGGCCAGAGGGAATTTGTTTGAAATCTGTTCTCTGAGATTTTTAGTTTAAACTACTCTGTCTTAAGTGAAAAGAATCTGTTTGTTAAAGATCTGCAGTGAAAAGATGAAATCAACTTGGTAGAAAATGAGTTCAGTTCTTGTTTTCAGGGAGCGGTTTATTATTTGAAAGTATGAATTCCTTAGAGTGACATTGGCTCTTTCATATCGTTTGATTTTAAAGGAGATGGAGAGCAACCAATAAGCATTCTTTAAAATCTCTAAATGTCTAAGTTTTCTCTTGTTCTCTGAAACCCTTGCCTGGATTGCCATAGACATTTTATGCTTTGGATATGTGTCTCTTTGCTGGTTCTTCTTATGTTAGGTTACTTACTGCCTGAATGAATATGCCTTCTGTCTTGGTGTTTCTTATAGGTACTCATGGTTACCATGGCAGGATGTCCGTTTTTAGTAACTGAGGTTACTATTGTATGAAACAGAATGGTTGGTTTTGTTTTGGCTTAGTATTTGAGGGATTTTTTTGGGGGAGGAGACAAAGTCTTTCTCTGTCACCCAGGCCAGAGTGCAGAGGAGTGATCATGGCTCACTGCATCCTTGACCTCCTGGGCTTAGATGGTCCTCCTGTCTCAGCCCCCTGAGTAGCTGGGACTGCAGGTGTATGCTACCATGCCTGGCTAGTTTTCTGCATTTTTTGTAGAGACAGGCTTTCACCATGTTGCCCAGGCTGGTTTCAAACTCCTGGGTTCAAGTGATCCTCCCTGCCTCAGCCTTCCAAAGTGCTGACATAGGTGTGAACCACTGCACCTGACCGGGTTTTGTTTTTTAACCTTTTGACTTATAAATGAGGAATGTTTATTCTTCAGTGGGATCCTACCTGTGGGAATGGTAAAAACACTAACAAAATCTTATAGAAGCACCCTTGAGATAATCATACTTTGAATATCAGCATGAAATTTCCCAGACCATGGTGAAATATGTGATTACAAGGCAAGGTTGGTTGGTTTGGCTTGTTCTTAGGCATTTGAGTGCCTTTACCTTTAAACTGAGTCTAACTACAGCATGTATCTGAGTGAGCTGCTGTTTTCTATTCTTTGTTAGGTTATATGTTTACCATAACAGGTCAGTTGTTACTATTTTTTTTGAGATGGAGTTTCACGCTTGTTGCCCAGGCTGGAGTGCAATGGCGTGATCTCGGCTCACCTCAACCTCCGCCTCCTGTGTTCCGGCAATTCTCCTGCCTCAGCCTCCTGAGTAGCTGGGATTACAGGCATGTGCTACCATGCTCAGCTAATTTTTTGTATTTTTAATAGAGACGGGGTTTCACCATGTTGACCAGGATGGTCTTGATCTCTTGACCTCGTGATCCACCCGCCTCGTCCTCCCAAAGTGCTGGGATTACAGGCGTGAGCCACCGCGCCCGGCCAGTTGTTACATTTTTGAGTCTTTTAAATTGCTTTATAGCAGTCTAGGGCTGCTGACTTTCCCGTTGAGTGACAGGTGGAAAACCATGTGCCATGGATAACACGTTCCTTGCTCATGTTTATATACCAGTTCCTAGTTTTATTATTTCTGAATATGATCTGTGGCTTAGGCTATTAGCTGACTTTTGGCTCCCTGGGAATTTTTATCCTGGTTTTCTGATTTGACTTATGTGGGATATTAGCAGACAGGAAAGGCCCAGGTCTTTAACACTGTAAGCCATATTTACGGAAGAATTTGGTGCAATAGGTTCCAGGACATTTTATCTGTTGGTAGTTGAAGACTTTTGCTTTTTGTGATGCTTAGAGAAGACAGAAAATTAACTTGAGAACAAATTTTAGTATAATTGAATTTGGTATTTTAATTTTTGTAGACATTTAGCTGTGTAGTTTCCTTGAGGTATGCAGTTTCCTTTAGAAGCCTTTGATACCTAAAGCAGTGCTTTGTGTATAAGATATATTAGAGGCTTTAAAAGTTTTACTAAGCACACATGTTTTGAATAGCTAATACGTGCAGGTCATTGTATTAGATGTTAAATTGCAGGTATATAATATATACTGCTACCTTCAGGAAACTCACTTTTAGTAGCTGAAGGAGACATAACAATGTTAGTGTAATACATTGAGAGAAATGCTCTGGATGAGTTTGTGATTCTTACCCTAACGGTGGTGGTGGGGATGACATCAAGTTCTCATTAATTGCCTATATGCCAGGCACTAGTTTTAAGCACAAGAACATCTATCAACTAGTTTGTTCTTACAACAACCCTGTGAGGTGGGTACTCTTAGCATCCTGTTTTGCACATGGAAAAGCTCTGGTATAGAAAGATTAAACCATGAGTTCTAACAGCAAGTGACAGCCAGATTCTGAACCTCAGCAGGCTTATTTCTGAATCCATGCTTCTCAACATTACGTCTCTCAGTTTCTTTGAACCATGTCAGATAGGAAAAGAGCAGTGGATCCATGTTATGATGTTACTGTTTATTCAGAGCAGTCCTTGTTTTTAGATTTCCAGTTGATCAGTGAGAACTTAGTGAAAGCTATTAGCTTTGATCCAAGCTGGGAAAGATATAATAATATTAACTTGAATCTTGACCTTAGATGGAGAAAATAAGATTTTTTTTTTCTTTTTGGCGTTTGGTTTATAAAATATATTTTTACAGCAGTGATTGTGCCATATTCTGTTTCAGGATGGGACATGGGGACCACATTCCAGTTCTTTTTCTGTAGAGAAATGTATTTTGTCCTTTCATGATTATGTCTCCTCAGGTTTATTTAGTACTTAATGTTTTATGAAGTAATTTCATGTAGTTAGTTAATTGGATCGTTACAGCAACTGTGAGATAGGCCTGGCAGGTACTTCCCCGTGTTATGAGGAAGCTGAAACTGAGAGAGTTGAATTGGAAATTGGCAGGTCTGGTACTTGGACTGTTATCTTGTTTCTGGTCCAGTGCTCTTTAGCTTATTCCATGTTATCCTCTTAAAGAAAAAACGGTGTCTAAATTGTTTTCTGACAGGTGTTCAGTGCATTTTGCCTTACTTTTTGGATCAGCTAATCTGTTAGTATCGAGTTGTATCTCACAGGAATGTTTTCTTTAAAAAAGCTGTAGAAATCTCTGTTCTTGAGAAACTTGTATGGCACCTATAAACATATCATTGATGTTGAGAAAACTCTTACCACATTTTTCCATATTTAAGGTCTCTTGGTCTCGCTGTGGCACCACGCATAAGATTTCTTCAGAAAATGCAGAAGCAACCCACCAAAGAATTGGCAATCAGCCAAGCTAATAAAGTCATTGAGCCGCGGGCTCCCTCCCTCACCAATGACGAAGTGGAAGAATTTAGAGCCTACTTCAGTGAGAAAATGTCCATCCTTCAGAAAGGTGGACAAAGACTTGAAGGGAGAGAGCACAGACAGGCTAACGATACTAGTGATGAAGAACAGGAAGAGGAGGAGGAGGAAGAAGAAGAAGAAGAAATGGAAGAGAAACTGGCAAAAGTAAAGGGATCTCAACCTCCATCTCTTCCTAACACTAGTGAGGCACAGAAGATCGAGGACGTTCCTACGCAGTTCCTGGACAGAGATGATGAGGAAGATGATGTTGATTTCTTGAAGGTGAAGCGGCACAATGTGTTTGGATTGGACCTTAAAGAGGAGAAAACATTACAGGTAAGTCTACTCCTAATGGAGGGTCTTCTATTACATTGCCTCACTATGTGCTTGTTGTTGCCTTTTGGGGACTGATGGAAGTGAAAACTAAGAGAAACTTAGGCTGACTTTCTTTGCAATGAACTCTTCCTCCTTTCCTCCATATTTAAACACAGAATAAGTGCCAGTGAATTTTTTTAGTATTCATAACTTTGAGAACTCTAAGAGGTTAACAACTTTAATCTTATTTAATGCTTTTCTGATGCTGTGTTTAAAAGTCGCCAAAGTCTGATTATGTCTCAGAGGAAGGCGATGAAGCCCCTTGGTTTATGGCATGAGGATCCTTCATTATAATTCCTCTACTGCTTCTGATTGATTAAATTATAAGGAACAGTTGTCATTATTTAAATCTTTCTAAACATAAGTTTTACTCTTAATGCAACATTTGTTTATGGGAACCAAGCCAGTATCTTAAATAGTAAGTGAACAGTTTTTTTAAAGTCTGCTTCCAAATGTTTATGACAAATTTTCATATAGATCCTTTGTTTTTCTGTAGCCTTCTTCTAGAAGGAACAAAAGAAATAATCCGTTTATGTAAAGCACTTGTTTTCCAGGGTGCTTTTGCAGGTGCACAGTAAATGTATTTCTCCTTCTCTCTTACTCCCCTTCCTACTTCCTATGTCTTTATTCTTGATCATCTTTTAAAAAGGGAATTGAATAAAAGTGAAGCTTGATTCTTACTCTGTATACAGTGTTGAGTAAAATTCCGAGACTCACAGTAGGAAATACATAATACATTTTGATGCGAAACTTAGAAATGTGTTTAAGTAACGGAAGATTAAAAAACCTAGAAGATGTACTTATTGAACACTTAATATGTGTTCTGTGTTAGGCATTTTCTAAACATGTTCTCATTTAGTGTTTGAAATACCTTCAGAAGTAGTTACTATTATCTCATTATACAGGTGATGGGAAAAAAAATAACTGGCACAGAGACAATGTAATACTGTAGTGAGGCACAGAAGCAGTACATGGCAAAGCTGGAACTTGAAGACAGGTATTCTCACTTGAATACTCATGCTCGTGTTCAGTAATGCTGTACTGTCTCACCCTGCTTCAAATTAGATCACCTTAAGTCTGCAGTTAAGACTCAGTTTATCAATGAACTAAACAGAAAGTTAGATTTTTGCTTTAAATAATTTAGCCACTGTATTAACTATTATGTTTACCGCTTTCTAAGAAATATGACATAACCAAAGCATTAAATTGAAAAGGAATGATATAATTTTATAATACCATGAATTGTTCACGTAAGTAGGACGTGTCTAAGTACTCATAGGTCACCGGGCATTAGAAAAATGTATGTAGCAAAACAACTTTTTAAACTTCAAAAAGAGTTTTACTGTGTATCAGTTATCTAAACTAACTTTTTATTATTTATTTATTTTTTAAATTTTTTATTGGATTATAGGTTTTGGGGTACATGAGCAGAGCATGCAAGACAGTTGCGTAGGTACACACATGGCAGTGTGCTTTGCTTTTCTTCTCCCCTTCATCCACATTTGGCATTTCTCCCCAGGCTATCCCTCCCCACCTCCCCCTCCCACTGGCCCTCCCCTTTTCCCCCCAATAGACCCCAGTGTTTAGTACTCCCCTTTCTGTGTCCATGTGTTCTCATTTTTCATCACCCACCTATGAGTGAGAATATGCGGTGTTTCATTTTCTGTTCTTGTGTCAGTTTGCTGAGGATGATGTTCTCCAGATTCATCCATGTCCCTACAAACGACACGAACTCATCATTTCTGATTGCTGCATAATATTCCATGGTGTATATGTGCCACATTTTTCCAATCCAGTCTATTATCAATGGGCATTTGGGTTGATTCCAGGTCTTTGCTATTGTAAACAGTGCTGCAATGAACATTCGTGTACGTGTGTCCTTATAGTAGAACGACTTATAGTCTTTTGGATATATACCCAGTAATGGGATTGCTGGGTCAAATGGAATTTCTATTTCTAAGGCCTTGAGGAATCGCCACACTGTCTTCCACAATGGTTGAACTAATTTACACTCCCACCAACAGTGTAAAAGTGTTCCTTTTTCTCCACATCCTCTCCAGCATCTGTTGTCTCCAGATTTTTTAATGATCGCCATTCTAACTGGCGTGAGATGGTATCTCAATGTGGTTTTGATTTGCATCTCTCTGATGACCAGTGACGATGAGCATTTTTTCATATGATTGTTGGCCTCATATATGTCTTCTTTCGTAAAGTATCTGTTCATATCCTTTGCCCACTTTTGAATGGGCTTGTTTGTTTTTTTTCCTGTAAATCTGCTTGAGTTGTTTGTAAATTCTGGATATCAGCCCTTTGTCAGATGGGTAGACTGCGAAAATTTTTTCCCATTCTGTTGGTTGCTGATCCACTCTAGTGACTGTTTCTTTTGCCGTGCAGAAACTGTGGAGTTTCATTAGGTCCCATTTGTCTATTTTGGCTTTTGTTGCCAATGCTCTTGGTGTTTTGTTCATGAAGTCCTTGCCTACTCCTATGTCCTGGATAGTTTTGCCTAGATTTCCTTCTAGGGTTTTTATGGTGCCAGGTCTTATGTTTAAGTCTTTAATCCATCTGGAGTTAATTTTAGTGTAAGGTGTCAGGAAGGGGTCCAGTTTCTGCTTTCTGCACATGGCTAGCCAGTTTTCCCAACACCATTTGTTAAACATGGAATCCTTGCCCCATTGCTTGTTTTTGTCAGGTTTATCAAAGATTGTATAGTTGTATGTATGTTGTGTTGCCTCCGGTGCCTCTGTTTTGTTCCATTGGTCTATATCTCTGTTTTGGTACCAGTACCATGCTGTTTTGATTACTGTAGCCTTGTAGTATAGTTTGAAATCCGGTAGTGTGATGCCCCCCGCTGTGTTCTTTTTGCTTAGAATTGACTTGGCTATGCGGGCTCTCTTTTGGTTCCATATGAAGTTCATGGTGGTTTTTTCCAGTTCTGTGAAGAAAGTCAATGGTAGCTTGATGGGGATAGCGTTGATTCTGTAAATTACTTTGGGCAGTATAGCCATTTTCACGATATTAATTCTTCCTAACCATGAACATGGAATGTTTCTCCATCTGTTTGTGTCCTCTCTGATTTCGTTGAGCAGTGGTTTGTAGTTCTCCTTGAAGAGGTCCCTTACGTTCCTTGTGAGTTGTATTCCAAGGTATTTTATTCTTTTTGTAGCAATTGCGAATGGCAGTTCGCTCTTGATTTGGCTTTCTTTAAGTCTGTTATTGGTGTAGACGAATGCTTGTGATTTTTGCACATTGATTTTATATCCTGAGACTTTGCTGAAGTTGTTTATCAGTTTCAGGAGTTTTTGGGCTGAGGCGATGGGGTCTTCTGGGTATACTATCATGTCGTCTGCAAATAGAGACAATTTGGCTTCCACCTTTCCTATTTGAATACCCTTTATTTCTTTTTCTTGCCTGATTGCTCTGGCTAGAACTTCCAGTACTATATTGAATAGGAGTGGTGAGAGAGGGCATCCTTGTCTAGTACCAGATTTCAAAGGGAATGCTTCCAGTTTTTGCCCATTCAGTATGATATTGGCTGTTGGTTTGTCATAAATAGCTTTTATTACTTTGAGATACGTTCCATCGATACCGAGTTTATTGAGGGTTTTTAGCATAAAGGGCTGTTGAATTTTGTCAAATGCCTTCTCTGCGTCAATTGAGATAATCATGTGGTTTTTGTTTTTGGTTCTGTTTATGTGGTGAATTACGTTGATAGACTTGCGTATGTTGTAAACTAACTTTTTAATGTATACAGTCTGAGTTTTGACAAATGTATGGTGTTATGTAATCACTGCCACAGTTAGAATAGAATCAGTGTCATCACTCCAAAACATGTCTTGCTCCCTTTCTAATTACTTTACCCTTCACTTATCCTCTGGCAACCACTGATCTGATTTCTACCCCGGTAGTGTTGCATTTCTCAGAACGATATAGAAGGAGGATAATAAAATATTGAGCCTTTTGTGTCTGGCTTCTTTCATTTAGCTTAATGTTACTGCGTGTACCAGTAGTTTGCTCCTTTTAATTGCTGAGTAGTATTTCATTGTATGGATGTACCACAGGTTTTCTTAAGTTTTAAATTGGCATTGGTTGTTTCCATTTTTTGGTGGTAATGACAAAAGTCATTAAAAACATACACATTTTTTATGTAGATAATTTTCTCATTTCTCAGGGAAACAAATGGGGTTATTTTCTAGGAATAAGGTTACTGGGAACATAAATCTGTGAGTCTATCAACTTGATATATATTTTCCTAAAATTGCTTTGGCTGTTTTTAGACCATTGCATTTTCATATAAGTTTCTGAATCAGCTACTTTGTATAAAAAGCCTGCTAATGACTTCACTGAGGTTGCATTGAATCTATAAATCTAACTGGACAGAACTGACATTGTACAATACCTTTTTATTTAGGCCTTACTTAGTGTCTTTTTAGCATTGCTTTATAACTTTAAGTGCACATATTTGAGTCATCTCTTACTATTTGATATTTTTTAATGCTATTATAAATGGTATTTTTAAAATTTCAATTTTCAATTCTTTGTTGCCAGTACATAGAAATAGTGTGTTTTTATAGACTGATCATTCTAAACTGACCTATTAGTTCTTGTGGCTTTTTGGGAGTTGCTTGGGATTTTCTTTTGTAGCTGATTATGAGGTTTGTGAATAAGGATGGTTTCATTTCTTCTTCATCATCTGTGTGCCTTATATTATTTCTTTTTTCTTTTTCTTTTGCTTGATTATACTGACTAGAATCTGTAGAATAGAAGTGGTTAAGAGTAGCTGTTGCTGTGTTGTTCCTGATTGTACCGAGGGGGAAGCATTCAGTCTTTTACCATTACATCTGATGCTAGCTGTAGGTTTTTTTGTAAATACCTATGACATTGAGAAGCTTCCATCTATTCCTAGCTGGTTTAGTGTTTTTATGATGAAATGAATTGTGATGTGTCAGATACTTTTCTGT